TAAATCTATATGATCAATTTTTTGAGCCGTTGTTAGAGACCCGCAGACAAGGGGGAAAAAGCTGATTTTTTTGATTTAAATCAAAAAACAAAATCAAAAAAATCAAAAAAATCAGAAAAATCAAAGAAATCAATGAAAATCATGTCTTATTTTCATCACTTTTCTCCTGTATATCAATTGCTTCGTTATAGTTCTCAACTGTGAACTCTGTTTTTCTAGTGATAATAAGTTTTTATAGCAATGTAACATGTTAAAAATCATGCTATACATGAATGAGACATTATGAAGATGTGAGTATGTCAGTAATGTTTTTTCCTTGGTTTCATTTTTTTTTTGTCGAAGCAAACAATAAATAGAACAACATAGAGAGAAGAGTGGGATTTTAAAACTTAAAATATTTAACTATTTATATCGAACAAGAAATGGAGAAAAGTCGTTCGACCGTACGTACTATTTTTCAACAGTATCTGTATATCATATGCTAGCGGCATCATGTTAATTAGAAAAGCAATGCCAACTTTAGCTTGTGATTGTTCGATATTGATCCATTCATATTTTCTTTATTTCTTTCTTGCTCGATATGTGTATCTAACATATTTCAAACTTCTGTGCAATATTTTATGATGTTAAAAAAGTCTTTTATCAACACAAGTCATATACCAGATGATGTTTTTTCTTATCAAGAAGAACAATTTTATGATTTCATTAGAAAATATATCGGACAGAAACAAGCAAATTTACTTGCTTTTCAAGAAATCAGTAATACAGATATTTATTTGAATTGCTGCAATGTTCTCAATATTCTTAAATTAGATTCAGCTGCTTTAATTCCTTACAAAGAATCTCTTTGTCTTAAACTTGATGATAACAGTTATACTGTTCTTCCTGGCATCAGGAGTTCATTTTCCTATTTGACTGAGCTTTTGACAAAGAAAAGAGAGGAAATGGTTCGAATAGTAAGACAAGGTAGAAATTTTTATGGTTCTTCTACTTGTTCTGTAACTAATACAAATGATACAAATAATATTACAATAGTATCCAATTCATCTTCACTAACTTCAATTTCTGCATCTTCACAATCAAATATTGGCTCAGTTGATGTCACTAAGTCCATTGATCATCACAGAAAACAAATTATTTTAACTATAAATGAATGGGTTCATAAGAACAAGGAGAACCTTTCTAATGAAGATTTCAGTCTTGTTCAAGGAATAGACTATGATGTTAATGTTACTGTCAATCCTGATACAGCTATTGTTCGCTGCGCCTGTGGTGTTAAATCAACTTTAAAATTAGTTCATACAACTTATCAGGTAAAGATGCTGATATAAATCTTTATAATTTTCTCTTAAATGAAGATTGAATTCTTTAACAATTTTAAAAGTTTTGATTAGCTGAAATATTTATATTCAATACGTATATTTCAATAGATATGCACTTGGATGTCAGGAGCTCTTCATTTTAAAGTATTATCGAAGCTGATATGCTAGTATGAAAGAAGTTTTAAACTAGCCGATCTATAAAATAGTGAATTGTTTTCTTTCTTGTCACTAAAAATTCGAGTAGTGTTCTACTAGTATTTAACTATAAGAAGACTTTGAAACATGCATACATAGTCAATCAATTTTGGAAACATATTTTCAACAGAAATGCTACATGTATTATGCATTTCAATCTGAAATTCATGTTCGAGTACTTCGAGCATGATTTGCCTTTTCTGATACACTAATTGAATCTTGTCTTTATTTCGTCTTCCCTGCTGAACTATGAAATACTCCAACACAAAGTATTCAGATAAAATATTTTCAATTGGAACTTTCCACATTTGAATATCAAATATTTTGAGAAGAACCGGAATCCATTTTTCTAATCATTATATTCATTTAAATATGACAGTTTCTATAGGTGACCGATAAATAGTTTCTGTTAAAAATAGAAAGAAAAACATTAGTAACACACAGAGACGGCGATTACGCAAACTTTTTTTATTGTATACATTGCAAAGAAAATAAAAATATGTATTTTTCTTTTTCTATGTATTCAACTATTATCGCCATCTAAAGGCAAAAAAATGTACAATGATGAAAAATAAATGTTCTACTATAAATGAAGAAGGAAATATTGAACCAGTTGAGAAAATGGAGAAGAATATGCCTTTTGATTCTTCTCAAGATTCTTATTCGACTATTATTAATAACAACGAAGCAAGTACATTGCCTAAAAAACGACATGGTTCATTTGCTTCTTCTATTGATCAATCGACCAAAAGAAAACGTATAATTTAGAAATGAACATATCTCTTTTTATGTACTTTAATTTTTAGCTTGCAATCATGGTTTTGAAATAAAACTATTTTTTATAAATTAAAATTATGATTAATATAGAGAGAAAGATATGTTAGAAATGTCCACAGAACATGACAGGAAAAAATATAGATTCCTTAGAAATTCTAAAGATCAACTTATTTTAGGAAGATCGCATCGATTGACTCCGAAAATATTTCTCCATTTGCATAAAGAAATAGGACTAACATAGTCGTTAAACGGTGCCTAAAACTATACTATGGTTAAAAGGAACGAATATTCTATCGAGCATATAGAAACAACGTTAATGCGAGGAGAATTACTATAATAGAAAAGTATTTCTGAATCTGACACATTGTTCTAAAGAAAAGAAGGAACTTTGTACTAAGTGTATGGTTTCTTTTTTATGGGGAACAACTATTTTGATATTATATGTTTAATTTCTTAATATTAATTATTCATAAATTTTTTAAATGATCATCTAGATTATTGATATAATTTTGATTAATAAAAATGTCAACTACTGTGGTTTTTCCTGAAAATGTATTATTTCTTCATGATACTGAGTTTTATCAATTTATCCAACAAGCATGCGGTCATATTGTTGTTGAAATTTTGAAAACTCAAGAAATATCATCAGTTGACAGCCTACTACGTATTGATAATATTTTCTCATTCTTCAATCACGATTCTCAGCATCTCCGTTCAATAAAAGAGAAAATTGGTATTTATCTGAATGACGGTTCATTTATAATAAAACCGGGAATAATAATTAAAGTGGAAACACTCGTTAATACTCTTCGTAATCTGAACCAACTCCAGATGCCTTTCACAACTAACGTTGATATTCTTGTATCTCACACAACCCTTCAAAAATTTCCATTTCTTCAACAGATTCTTAAGTTTGTTCAAGATTCTGAAGATCCTCACAATCCAGAATTGGCATTTCTATACCAGTTTATTGAAAATACATTTTCTAATCTTATGCAATCAAAAAGTCGTTATCGATATCAAGACCATATAAAGCGCTTCGGACTAACACTTTTCTTGTTAGGTGGAAGAAACTTATACGAATTCATTCATCTGAATCTACCTGGTTCATTACCCACTATTTCGACTCTTCAAACAGCTATTGCTGAAAGCTCACAAGAAATTGGCGAAGGAAATTTTCGTTATGGATTAGCAACGCAACATTTTGTTTACAAACGGTCAGAATATGTTTTTTGTGCAGAAGATTGTACAGCTGTAATCCCCAAGATTGTTTATGACGCTAGATCCAACACTTTCATTGGATTCTCACTACCTTTATCCAAGGGATTTCCACGAATCGAATACTACTCAACGAATAGTTTTCAACAGTTAGAAAATTGGTTTAATACAGAATCTCAGTCAAATCTTTTGAACATTCATATGATACAACCCTTATCATCTCAGACTATTGACTTATCGCCTTATCTACTTGCGTCATATGGGACTGATGGCCGATATACGTCAAACGACATCATATCCAGATGGAAAAAAATTTTTGACAAATTTCGAGAGAATGGTATTCGAATTCTTGGATATTCAACAGATTGCGACTCGAAGTATCTTCGTTCAATGAGACTCATTACCGGCTTCTTCACTACATCATTGAATCAAAATGATCTTTTCGGTAATCATGCTTTCGTCGTTGCTTCGTGTTCTAACTGGGTTTGGTTTTATCTTCGACCACAGCAAAGCTTTTTGTGTCTACAAGATCCCATTCACTTAACGACAAAACTAAGAAATAGACTTCTTTCATCGAAGCTACAATGTTGTTAGGAAGCGAGTCCATAAACATAAATTTTTTACTTCAATTGATTAGAGACTTCGAAATTGGACCATGGCTTAGTTAAATCTGATGTCGTGCCCAAAGATCGACAAAACTTTTTGTCTTGCACAAAAATTTCAAGCAACTGTGTGTTGCAGACTTTAGAAAAAATGCAAAACACACGAGCAATATGTATTTACTTAAAGGTCAGTCCAAAATGACTCAAACACAAACAATTATAATCTCTATATATTTTTCATAACCCCTAATTTTTTTCTGTGAACAATGCTTTGAATACAAAGTTTTTCATAGATGACGAATTTAAGAATATATGGATTTGTTTGCCTGAAGAAACTCATTCTAAACGTACATCAATGCTTTAGAAAAGAATTTAAATATAAAAGTTTTTAATATTAAAGAGAATTTACATTTTTAGTGGAAAAATCTATATCTTGGTAAAAGGGATTTTAGTTTGTACCTCACTTTTGTCAAATCGAATACTGAATGTTTCTGAATATTTTTAGAATGAATAATTTCTTGTTATTTACGGTGAAACACAGGAAAACTAATACTAATGAGTACGACAGTCAGAATAAGAAGGGGCCTCATGGACAGATGGTTGATTCCGATCTTTTCGGGAGAGATTACGAAATAAAAATTGAGATGACCTGATTTTTTAAATCTGTTGTTCTATTGGATGTTTTTCAAAAAGTTAATCAAGTATTATTTCGCTCTTCGTCACGTCTCAAAAACGAATTAAAGACGACGAATTGAGAGAAATAATTGAAAAACTTTATTAACAGATTATGCACTGTCTTTTACTCTAGATAATAAGATATGTTCGTCTTGCATTCATTGAAAAGAACGTTGAACATGCCGATCGGATTTATTATGCTTGGCTGTGTACCTTTATCTGCCGTCTGTGGTTAACTTGGATTATAAGGACACCAATAGATAAGCTTGATCGTGGTGAATCACAAACTTTTGATTCCGGCTTGTCAAAGGGAAGACAAAAATCAAAAAAGAGATTTTTTATTACGTATCCCGCTTATTTCGTAAGTTGTAAATTTACTGCTTATTTTAAGTGAAATGGATATTAGACATATCCTTCGATGATTGAATTCATTTTAAAAAAATTACTTTTCTTGATGTAGATTTTATTCGATGAAAATAACTAACTTATGGTCTTGTTAATCATGTCATATTGTCAACTGTAAAGAGGGTTCAGGATATTTGTGAGACTTTATAAAATCATTGTTTATTTTATTACTAGTCGAATTTGAATTAAATGATGATCCTAATTTTTATACTTTCTCTAAACACTTTTCTTTGAAATCTGCATCACTAAATATTATCTATTACTTAGTCAATTGAGATCAACGCGCATACCATGACGTACATCACTCTTCTCGTCATTAATAATCAACTACCAATGGAAGCTCTTCGTATATGGCTGTTCAGCTCCCAGACATGCGAATCAATGTTTCGAATAGCTCGATCTATGTCGGGACCTTTTTCATCAGTTGTAAACTTTTCTGTAGCTGAATTTTTACGACGTGCAGAAAAGTTGTCCATTCTTCAGGCAATCAAAAGTGAAGCAGAATCTGATCCCGACTTTCCATTTCATTTTCCTCGTCATCATAAACAAACAAAATTACAGAAATTCGCATCTACTGTACGCATCTCCAGTTCTTTGTCTAGCGATGAAATTGAACAAATAGTCAAACGTGCATTTGCTGATGCAAGTGAACTTGTAGCATCTCTAGATGTCCATATTTTAAACAAAGATGGTAATTCAATAACAATTAACGAAGTTAGTGTTATCATCAAAGACCATTTAGAAAAAACTGCAAAAATCAGTGATTCAAGTCGAACAGAGTCTTCCGATTCTGATTCGGAATTAGATAATGAACTAAACAGTTATGGGACTGAATATGATTCAACATCGTCAGATTCTAACAACGACCAAGATATGTCTGAGTCAGATTGTTTATCGAATGTTAGCAACTGCTCGTTTCGTGGTATGCGCATTTATGACAACGTAAAACCTTCTCTTGCTCAATCGTATTTTAAAGTTACAGTCAATGGACAAACAAAATTCTTACATAAGCAAACAGCTTGTTGGCTGTTAATGCATGATAAATCATCACTGTCATCGGATCGCTCGAGACGTGTAATGAACAAATGATAGTATGAGTTTTCTTTTGTTTTTCAAATAAAATATGAAGATTCAGTAAATTGTATTGTTTCATTCCTCTTATTATAATCAGCTTCATGGAAGCAGCAAATCCTGAAGGTAAAAAATACCTTGATTTACTTAACTTTTTGACTCACACTCCAGAACTCTAGGAAAAGTCAAAGGAGAACAAAATCTGCACCGAATGTGATTCAGAGAACCTTGCTATAAAGTATACTAATCTACGAAATTCTGGGCTCAGAGCAATAATAACTCATTTTACTGATGTGAAGGTAATCTAACTCATTCGAGGCAGCGGAGAAAAACTAGTCTAGGTGTCTAACAATTGTGAATTTGAGCTTGTTTACACAGTTAAATCTTATTAAAACATGCAGCTTTGAAAACAACCTTATCAAAAAGTGTTTTAAGACCCAAAAATAAAACAAATAGAAACTAAAGAAAATCAGAAAAAAATCAGAAAAAAAATCAAAAAAATCAAAAAATCAAAAAAATCAAAAAAATTTGATTTTAGCTGTTTCCCCCTTGCCCGCAGAGTCATACATATTTAACTTCAATACCGGAATTTTTTTCTT